AGTCTCCCACAAAGGTCAACTGACTTGTCTAAGGACAGAGAGTGCTCACAAATATAGGCCCTGCACACACCCACGTGCACACACAGGCACACACATGTATACTCGTGCCAGGCACTCCAAACCAGAGTGCTCACGACAAGGAAGAGCAAGTTCCAGATTTTTCCACGTTGAGGATGAGGGTGTGACGGCTCACTCCTCACCCCCGTACCAGGGCATTCCTTCCAAGTCCTCACGTAGGTTTCACGAGTGGCTCTGGCCTCCAGATTTTCCAGATTCCATTTTCCGTCTGTAGCCTGGGGTCCCCAGCCTGCTCCTTTCTCGCTCCCGGGCCTGCTGGGAGGATGGAAGAGAGTGGGGTTTCTGTGCCCTCACCTCCAGGACTGAGCCATGTACCCTGTCGACAATTCCAAGACTGGCTCTCAAAGGACCAGAAGACAGAATTTTCTCCAAGGAAGGCTGGCTCACTTGTCTACATACAGAGTGCCCCAGTGCCCTAGCTCTTCTGAAGCAGGGGTAATGAAAAGTAAGTGTGGGTGCTTGGGATGGTTAGTTTCATGTGTTGACTTGGCAAGTCTGAAGGAAGTTTGCAGATGTGAATGACATGTACCACCCATTAACTTTAAATAAAGGAGATGGTCCTCAAAGGCAGAGAAGGGCCTCATCCATTCGGCTGAAAGTCCTTCAGAGCAAAACGACTCAAGTGTGTCAAGCACAACTCTACACTGACCATCAATTGTTTGCAGAGCTGATGTTTTCTAACATCTGTTTTAAGAATTTTGATTTTTTTAATTCTAATTTGTTATACATGACAGCAGAATGCATTACAATTCATATTACACATATAGAGCACAATTTTTCATATCTCTGGTTGTCTACAATGTAGAATCACACCATTCGTTTCTTCATACATGTACTTGCGGTAATGATGTCCATCTCATTCCACTATCTTTCCTACCTCCATTTACCCTGCCTTCCCCTCCCTCCCCTTTGCCCCATCTAGAGTTCATCTAATCCCCCCAACCACATAATGAATCAGCATCCTTAAATCAGAGAAAACATTTGGCATTTGATTTTGGGGGATTGGCTAACTTCACTTAGCATTATATTCTCCAGCTCTATCCATTTACCTGCAAATGCCGTGATTTTATTCTCTTTTATTGCTGAGTAATATTCCATTGTGTATATATGCCACATTGTTTTTATCCATTCATCTACTGAAGGGCAACTAGGTTGGTTCCACAGTTTAGCTATTGTGAATTATGCTGCTGTAAACACTAATGAGGCTGGGTCCCTGTAGTATGCTGATTTTAAGGCCTTTGGGTATAGACCAAGGAATGGGATAGCTGGGTCAAATGGTGGTTCCATTCCCAGTTTTCCAAGGATTCTCCATATTGCTTTCCAGATTGGCTGCACCAATTTGCAGTACCCCCAGCAATGTATGAGTGTGCCTTTTTCCCACACCCTCACCAACACGTATTGTTGTTTGTCTTCATAACAGCTGCCATTCTGACTGGAGTGAGATGGGATCTTAGAGTAGTCTTRATTTGCATTTCTCTAATTGCTAGAGATGATTTATTTGTTGATTAATTGTAGATCTTCTGAGAAGTGTGTTTTAAGATTCTGAAGTTTAAATCTGCTCTTTTTCATGACCCATGCTGACATTTTCACCAGGCTCTCCTTGGTTAAGCTGATGCCTTGGCTTATTTAATCCAAAAGCACAGCTATGTCTTTAAAGATTCTGAGGACCAACTTATCACACCCTATTTCTCATCCTCCCTGAAGGAATAGCAAGTAGCTGTCCCTGTCAGAGAAGTCTGACTCTCATAAATTGGGTCAAGAATTTTTTTCATGCCAAGTCAACATATTATTTATTTTAAAATAATAAAGAAACAAAAAAAAAACAAATATCGGTTGGTCTGTGTATTTAAACATAGTTGAAATCTGGTTGGTTCAAGATTAGAAAATAATTGAAGTGTTTGCTTTGCTTACTGCTGAGCAGCACAGAAATGCTGTAGTTGAAATGCGCTGGACTTTGGGCAAGGCACTGGGGGGAAAGCTGAAGTTTCCTGGAGGAGGCAGGAACCCCTGGTGGAGGCCACACTCCTGCTGGAGCAGACCCCAGACTTCGGCCTCCCCAGCGGCCCCCGCTGCAAAGCCAGTTCCTCCGTCAGCCAGTGGGCCAGCAGGCTCCTGGTTCTGTTTAAGGACTTGCTGTCTTTAGGATCTGCTGGCAGAGGCCCAGCCTGAGTTGTGCAGTCATCTTGAGTCATGATCRCAGTGACTGTCCCTGAGTTGTCCCCCTCTGCTTTCCCCACAGAGTTTCCCAGAATGCTACCACCACGTACTTTCTGTGACAGGGCTCCCGGCTGCCACTCTGGGCACCAGCTCACGGTCCAGAAGAGAAGCGGCGGCGGGGTGGCAGCAGCGGGGTGGCGGCAGGCGGGTGGGAGCCCGGGCAGCAAGCTCGGCTGGACCCCGCCATGCAGGTGCAGCAGCCTGAGGTGCTGGCAAAGGTGTGCTGACCTGTCACCCTTCGGTGGCCAGGCCTGGACTCTCTACAGTCAGTCTCTGGCTACAGAAGCCTGCTCCACGCCACGCTGCAGCCCGGAACCTGCGAGCACAGACCGTCCAACTCCCTRGCCCTCGGCCTCCTGACCTGAGGAGACATGGCAGTGCTGCAGACTGAAGGGAAGCTGGGCCCGAGAGTCGACCAATAGCGTCAGTGTGTTCCAACCCCTAATTAGTGTAAATTTTTTTAATAAACAGTATAAAAAAAAAGCATTGGTCCTTTTTTCAAACCCTAATTAGCATAAGTTTGGACCAATAGCAGTGACCCAAGTGCTATATAAACCCCAGCGCCTGCGGACACGGAGAATCTGATGTGGGTGCCCGCTTACCCTGGGGGAGTTCCTTTGGTCATGTTGATCTGCTGCTTGTAGCCCTGGGTCTCTGCAGTGCTGAAGGACTTAGGCCCCAGGGAGAGCTGAGACCCCACCTGCCAACAGAGGAGCTCCAGTTTCAGCTGTCCGCAGAAGTGGAAAATTGAGTTTCATCTCAAAGCTTTGGTTTCACTTGGGGCTTTCTGACTGGTGCTGGGCATTATARATGCAAGAGCGTCCCTGGCTTTTTCATATGCACTTGCCGAGTACCAGGCATGACCAACTGCTGCGGGGACTGACCGAAAGGGCTTTGTCGGGCCAGCAGAGGCCACAGTAACCTAATGTTCTATTAGAATGAACTAGGGCCACTTTTTAGAACTTACCACCAYGCGGTCTTGCAGAGGTGCTGATGGATTGATGTCTGATTGTCCACAGAGGGCCTGGGCAGCAGGAGGAGCTCCGTCTTGGAGTGCTGACCAGGACTCTTCGGAGAACATTTGTAGGAGTACCACATGCCTGAGTCACTCACACACCTGTTCGTGCCCGTGGCTCTAGCCAGGTAACCCCGAGTGGGTAATGTGRCTTCCAGGGACACCAGGTAGGGGCTTATTATCATAGAAGGAGCCAAGACTCAGCAGCACCATGTCTGGRCTCCTCAGCGGAGCCTGGCTGTAGAGCAGGTCAGCTGACGGGACAGAGGAGGAAGCCCCAGGGTCACTAAGTCCAAGTTCAGGTCTCAAGACCCCACTCCATGGTGTTGAGCAGACCCCATGACAGGTGGAAAGGGAAAGTCACTGTGTGACCGTGGCCAGGGCAGGAGTGAGGCTCATCTGCACGGGGCCCCTGGAGGATTTGCTGTGTTCCTCTGTGCTGCACAAGTCGCTTCCAAGCCGGCTCTGCGGCCACTRCCAGAACACTGCCTGAAGTACATCCCTGAACCTCGGGCCAAGGAGTCTATCCAACAGCTGTGGGTGGGCCCAGGAATCTGTCTCTCTCAGGGCTCCTGGTGCCCCCAGGCACCTCCAAGGAACTRTGCTCTGGCCACCCCGTCTCCATTTAGTATTACCAGCCTCGGGGAACCAACTGGTGCCACCAGCATGTTCCTGTCCTCCCCCCTTGACTTGCTCCTGTGTCATGGGACACTCTCTGAGCTGTGCCTCCCAGCCAGTCCCACGCTGACTCTTCAACACACACACACTTCGCACCAATTCAACTCAGCAAATGTTTATTGGGCACCTACGAGAGTCAAGGTATACAGTACCGGGTGCTATGGGGCACACAGACGGGGAGTCCAGGCCTCACCTGGAGAGCCGGACAGTCCAGTGGGGGAGACTCCTCAACAGGAGGAGAGGCAGGACCAGGTGAGCTCTGGGGCTGGGGTGGGAGACCAAGCAGGCTGGCTCGGATGGTCAGGGTGGGCATTGCAGTAGTCCTGGGAGTTGAGCAGGACTCAGAGGTGGACTGGAGCCGGGACACCTGAGTTCCAGGGAGTGAAGAGTACAGTGGCTGCTCAGGAGCAGGGAGCCACCTGCCTTGGCTGACACGGGAGGCYGCAGGGCTAACAGGGAGCCGGGCTGGAGAGCGGACGGAGGCCCGATGGCRGGCCTCATTGTGCAGGCAGAGCTGAGCCACAGAAGGCTTCTGAGCCAGGGGTGATGTGATCTCAGGTCCTCATGTCTGGGCACACAGCTGTGAGGAGCATATTTCTCTCCTTTGCTCTGGATTCTTGGCACAAAGCAGGCACAAGCCTGGGCCTTGGGCCTCAACCTTCCTGGGCTGCCCAAGGCTAAGAATCAGTGGCCTTGCTAGGTGACGGTCAAGCTCACTCACAGTTTGCACCCTCTGAGAGAAGCAAGCTAGGCRTACAGAGGGCAGGGCACAAGGCAGCACGCAGCAGACCTCAGTCACCTAAGCAGGGCAAGGATGCGCTCAGGGAAAACAGGAGAGCCAACAACCACGGAGCAGAGCGAGATGCCAAATCCACATCGCCAGCTAAACCATCCCCAGGGGGCTTCCGTGTGACCTCCCGCCACCCTGCCGCCCCCACCAGCAGGCGGGACCTGCAGAATGGCCCACTGGGATCAGAGCAAGGGCTTCTAGGTGCTCTACCCCTAGGGGACTCTGCTCATGGAGGCTCCTGGGACACTGCCTAACTGTCCAGAGAGGAGGGGGAGTGGCGCCCACCCCCTCCAGGGCCACCCCAGCCTGGGAAGGGATGGGAGGCCACCGCTGTCCAGGTGGACACTGCAATGCTGGTCAGTGAGGGCTCCCCCAGGACCTCCACACCACCTGAAGCTGGAGCTTGGGTGGGGAGCCCGGAGGCGGGTGAGGTCACGGCTGGGTTGCCAAGGAGAAAGGCCCCCGGGGTGCTGCCGTGAGCCTCTGCGCCTGACCCAGCAGGGCCCCCAGCTCCATTGCTGATGGTCCACAGGCAGGGATAGGAGCTGCAGAGGGCAGAGAGAGAGAGACCGTCAGATGGCACCCGGGGAGGAATACCCCAGGCAGGAGAGGGCTCTGGCCATGCCTGCTTCCAGCAGTGGCACCAACGGGCCCCACTTCTGCAGAAAAGCCAAGAGACGTCGTGAGAGGTAGTGGCATGAAATCAGTTGTCCTGACACTGAATCACGGTGCTGGCCTGGCCCCTGGCAAGGTGTTCCATTCTCTGGTCTCACCTGCAGCCCATATAAAGCAGGTAGGACCATGCAAGGAAGGACTAGGACTACAGACTCTGTGAGAATGGTCCCCCCCGGCCAGGAGTGGCAGTGTGGCTGAYCACTGCTGTTGGAAGCGCTGGGTCTGAATCCTAGCTCCACCTCACATGAGCCCTGTGACCTCGAGCAGAGTGGTTGGTAACTCTGAGTGTCTGCTTCTTCAGCTTCAAGGCTCACAAATGGTCATCTTACAGACCTGAGAGGTTGTTGCAAGGATCCAATGAAAAGGTGAGTATATGGTGCCTGGCACGTGACACTCAGTAAACAGTGGTAGTTATTATGACGTCTCTTCCTGGTCTCCACCTGTCAGCTAGGGTCCCTGGCAGGAAGCCTGGGGCTGACCACTTTTTTGCCATCTCTACTTCTACAGCACTGGTTCAAGACTTGGTTGCACATTGGAATCACTCAGTGAGTTTAGAGATGGAAAAAAGTTAGATGCCTGGGCACCATCCCCTGGAGATTCGATGCTCATAGTAGCTCCGATCTACAGAGTAGTTCAGGCTATTTCAGGAGATGGGAAAGTCAGAGCTAGGGGAGGCCAGGAACACAGCCSAAAGTCAAAGTCAGCAACGGGCAGACAGCATCACCTCTGCCAGACTCAAGCCACCCGTTCTTTCCCCTCCACCACCCTGAAGTGCTGATCCCCAGAAGCCAGCTGGACGCAGCCCTCTGGGGTGAGACCGCACCTCGGGGCCCAGCACAACATCTGGTCTAAAGCCAGGCTGTGAGCCATGTCCCCACCGTGCCCSCTTTCAGAGGGGGAGACATAAGAGAACAGGGGCAGCCAAGGGCCTCAATTCCTCAGTGTATTTTTACATATTTGCTTTTTAATGCACCTATACTTGATGTTGTGTGTGTGTGTGTGTGAGTGTGTGTACACGTGTGTGTACATGCCTTATTTGTTATAGCCTCAGTTTAAAGTGTTTCTGGCTGGTTCCCATGATCCCAGGCCACAGGTTTTCTCCCCTTTAAACATACAATGTCAAGGCCACAAGAACAGAGCAGACACCCAGGTGGCTGCTTCGCCAACGCCCTTCCTGCACCACAGAGGTTSGTCCTCTTGGGCCCTTTACGTCTTAGCTGCTGAGGAGTCAGGACCTCAGGTGAGGCTGAGCCACTCTGGCAAGAAGAAGCCTCTGGGTCCCCAGAGGACAGTGAGGCTCCGAGTCCACCCAAGAGCGAGCTTACCTGGGCCCTGGGTTGATGGGTCCGTTGGTGTGGGGCACAGACAGGATGCTGGCGTGGGGAGTGGAGGACAAGGACGTCCAGCCGTCGGCTCCCGAGAACACTTGCAGATTATTGCTTGAGCTTTCTATCAGATTCACTTTGGAGAAATGACAATGAGTCAGATTCACGSAACACACAGAACACCTAAAGATGGTGACCAGGGACGTCAGCTGGAGCAAAATATCTCTGTGGCTTACACTGCGAGGCAATGGCTCGTCAGTCCTTCTGAGGGTAGTGGAGCAGAAGGGGCTTGGGCTACTGAAGCAGCACAGGCCAGTGTCACAGAGGTCCCTTCACCGCCCACCTCCAGCTGACAGAGGCTCCCAGGGGGCGTCTGCACTCAGTGACACGGACCTGCCCGACTCCTTCCCCACATCCACTCCCCTTGAGAACGGGCCAAACAGCTTCTCTCCGGCTGGAGGGCCCCCCAAGCTATTGCATGAATCATCAACTGCTCCTTCCCCACCCCACCCCTCTCTCTCTCTCTCTCTCTCTCTCTCTCTCTCTCTCTCTCTCTCTCAAATCTAAGAACAAAGCAACGGACCTGGGCATACACATGGCCAAGGTGGATAAGATAGCAGTGAGTGAGAAAAACACACACACACACACAAATTGCCGGCTTTAAAAAACATCAGACTGCAAATATGATGAAAGCTGAGTTTGTAAATCTCCAACTGAATCAAACTAAAGCTGGAACGTACCGTGATACGGCTCTCGGGAGACTTCCTAATTGTCCTAGTGTTCCCTGTACTGAGCCATGATGCAACTTTAAAAAGAGCCCCAGGAAGGCAACACACTGAGTATTTCAAACCCCGCAACTTGACTGGCCTTCAGTGATCGGCCTGAAACCGCTCAGCACCCCAGCGCCCTGGGACGAAGCCTTTTGCACCCACTAGAAACCATCCACCTAAGTGTTTGATGAAATAATTACAGAATTAGAGAACACTAAAACTATTATGGCCAGACCACAGATGTCAGTACACAACAAGAAAGCAATGATGTGCAATATTAATGTGTAAGCACAGTGGAGGAAAGGGCTTCCCTCTCTTCCCCCTCCCCCACACCCCAGAGCCTCTTTAGCAGAACCACGCACCTGAGGGAGAGTGGTTCCTGTGCATGTACGCAGAAGGGTAGGGAGCTTGCCGGTGTCCTCGGAGCCCCGCGTAATGCTCGCAGCCATGGTGGGTGTGGGGAGCAGGCAGGGGCAAGGGCGCCGCATACTGGTAGTTGGCATTTCCTGCTGTGCATACGCCATCCGGATTGGAAAAGATCCAGCCTCCCACTGGAACAGACGAGGAAAATACAGGGACTGACACACAGAAATCAGATGACCAGCTACTTTGCACACCATGTTTCTTGGGAATGACAGTGACCCTGCCCATGTGGAAATTCCACCACCCCTTCCCCATGAACAGGTGACCTGGTCTCTCTGGAGATGGACAGGTCCCATCAAGGTGTGCAAAACCACTAAATAACACTGCACTGTGGCTATACCAATACAACCTGAAGGCAGAAGTTAACAGAAGCTATTCAAAATACAACCTGAAAGCTACTTCCTTATAATAAAAGTGTGTCCAGGAGGCCTCCAACTTGTGTCCAGCTCACTGGCCTCCACCAGGGGCTGCTTGGTGAGGTGGCAAGGAAGGAGCAAGGGCTCATTTCTGCCGGCGGGAAGGTGAGGCCTTCCGTCACCAACGGCACGCGGGACACTCCTGGCACAGAGAAAGAGCGCGGGCCTCGCACACCCTGGCAGCAAGCATTTTGCAGAATATTTTGGAAAGTTGCAAAATATTTCATAGAAATCAGYTCTTGGAGATCCTGAACAGAAGATTCTACCTCAGGAGAGCCGCTGGGCAAAGAGAGACTCAGTGAGACTCAGAAATTCAGGCCCTGAGTAAGAAAGACATTCTYCCACCAGGTCTCAGCTGGGCTGACGGATGCTGATTCAGGCAAGGCCAGAGCTGCTCCTGAAGAACTGTGACCAAGGGTTGTCACCTCAACGATGTGGAAAAGGACCTCAGAACTAGCACCCACAGCCATTGCTGAAACGCTCGTAAAGTGTAAGTAAGCCCATGGCACAGAGTTCGGTCATTCCTGACAATCCTGTCATCTTCCCATGGTTGTGTAAGCATACGACCCAAGGTTTCCCTACCCAGAGAGTGAGGTCAAAGTAGGCCACCCCCMAAAAAATATGCTTCTTTAGCATGTTATGAGACGGCCATGCAGTGGGCTGGGTCACAGGAGTCCTTCTGCCAGCTGCCCTTTGGTGGTACAGGTGCACACCGTAGTAGAAGCCCACAGTGAACACACTGCCCTGGCTCTGAGGCCCTCCTCAGCCTGTGTGGACTTGCCCTGAGACTCCACAGGACGCACCATATTCTTCTGCACAATGAGACCACTCTGTTCAGTGCATTTTCTTCCCTCCACCCCGCCAAGTGCCTATTTCTGTAGTTCAAATGCTATTTAAGCTTCAACCATTCGGCACTTTCTTTGAGTTTCATCCTTTGCATATGGTTTTCATGTTTCTGTACACTTATAAGTGTGTGTGCTTTTTTCCTGCTGATCTATCTATGGTTGGCTTATTTCATCAACCAATATTACTGAACCTTCAAAGGGAAAATTTAAGACTTCCCTACACTGAGTAGTGGACTCAAGATTCAGGCATCCAAAGGGAGACCCTCATTGTTATACAAAATTACATATAAGAGGTTGTGAGGGGAATGGGGAAATAAACAAGGAGAGAAATGAATTACAGTAGATGGGGTAGAGAGAGAAGATGGGAGGGGAGGGGAGGGGGGATAGTAGGGGATAGGAAAGGTAGCAGAATACAACAATTACTAATTGGGCATTATGTAAAATTGTGGATGTGTAACCGACGTGATTCTGCAATCTGCATTTGGGGTAAAATTGGGAGTTCATAACCCACTTCAATCTAATGTATGAAATATGATATGTCAAGAGCTTTGTAATGTTGTGAACAACCAATAAAAAAAAAAAAAAGATTCAGGCATCCAATGGGCAAAACCAGACAAGACTCCCCACCCCAGGACCACGTAGTTGGCCACATGTAACGTACACACCTTGAGAAGTTTGCCAAGAAGGCCACCGCACGTGAACTGAGAGAAGGCGTGTCTCTCTGCGTGTGGCACTAACCTCAACAAAAGCCTTGGTAAAGTCACTTTAAAAAGTGCGCTTCTGAAAGCCAGCTCTCTGTGTGGCTGTACTACCATTTCTGGCCTGGAAGTTAAGGTTTAGGGGAGGGAGGAGCGAAGAATCCACAGCTTTAAAATGGCCACAGGGATCTTGGCCAGCCACCGCCACACTAATTAAAGGGTGTGTCCACGGGTTAACTTTTCCATGAGTTGCTCCTGGAACCTCCGCGGGCTCCCTCCACCAGGAGCYTCCTCCACCCGCTGGGATGTGGAGACAGTGGTACCCTGTGGGAACACCCAGCGCTGCCCTCTGACTCCCGGGCGTACTTCTCCAGCCTCCCTCGGCCTTTCAGCCCAAATGCAGACTCTCCTCATCTGTGAGGCCGCAGCTGCTCGAGGCCACGCAGGCACTAGGGACCAGCTCCAAAAGTAGCCAACACTAGGAACAGGGGAAATCCAGAACTGACCAGAGAGGGTCCAGGGGGGAGATAGGCCCAGGACGCCCTTTTGAGAGTCCTTCGCTTCACTCACAGGAAAACTAGGGTTAAGAAAGCCTTCATTCCCACTCTTACCTCCTGCCTAAGACTTGTTTGACCCCTGTGCCTGGGAACTCTGGCAAGGCATCACTTGACTCGAGTGGAAGGGACCGTCAGTGGGCCTCAGTTTGGACTAGGCCTTAAGTGGTCATGAAGGCAAGGGTCTGAGTGCAGGGGGGACACTCCCAGTGTAGCCCAGCGCCTCCCGCCTACGTTCCCCAACTCACAGTGAGAGTAGGCCACGTGCTGGCTCTCACAGACAGCCTCCGGCAGGTCTTTGGGGTGGTTTCTGAAACAGCAGTGAAAGTGACAGCTCATKGTTCAAGTCCAGCATGAAGCACACCCCAAATCCTCTAAGGAGAGCAATACAAGTCTCTGAATAAGAAGACCAGACTCCCCTTTCCTCAAAGCTGATCTCCTCTCCCGTTCTCCTTCCTCTACTCGTGCAGTGGCTCTGTGCATCTCAGATCTGCTGTTGTCCCCAGTACCATAAGGACAGCCGTCCCTGTTCAGCTCCTCTTACTGGGTCATGATTCAGATCATAATGACAAGAGCTAAGATTTGTGCAGGTCTTTGAGACACAATTGCACATGTGATTTGCTAGGTGGACCAACAGCCCTGTGAAGGAGATATTGCCACGCCATTTTGCAGATTAGATCTATTAGTTATAGATCTCAGGGAGGTAGACTGACACAGGCATGATCACACAGAGAGGAGGGACGAAACTGGGACTCCAAGTCAGGCCCTCTTCCTTGAAGTTCTGAGATCTCTTTATTATACCATGCTGCTMTCATTTGGGACCTGCAGTGGTGGCCAGGATTCTGTCATCTCACACAGCCTTCTCCATTAGGACTTCAGTTATCTGAAAAAGTTATCAGCGTGTCCTCTCCATCATCAAAATGTATTCATATATTGAACAGGACAGATTCTTGTGTGCTATCTTTATCAGCATCTGTCCATTAACCCAGAATCTTTAAGATGAAAAGGAAAATCAGGTAGTTATAAAAGTAGGTGAAAAGATTAGAAATTCAGGCAAAAAATTCTGAATACTTTAAAGGACATCGTATTTATATTCCAAGCCTTGTCAATAGAAAGATCAATGATCAGTACCACGCTCTGTTATTTTGCCCRAGAATGAAAAGCAAAGGTAGGGGGACAGCAAGTCACTGACCCAAAGTGCATCACTCATGCCCTGTTACGTTTTGGATGTAAGGTGTCCCCTGAAAAGTTCCTGTGTGAGATCAYGCAGGTGAAGTGGTCAGTGATGAGCGGTAGCCTCACAGTGGGTTAATCCTGATGGACTGGCAATCTGAATGGACCACTGGGTGGTGACCGTGGGCAGTTAGAACGTGGCTAGAGGTGGTCACTTGGGAGGTAGCCTTGGACTATATCCTGTCCCTGGCCCCTCCTCTGCTTCCTGGCTGCCATAAGATGACCAACTTTCCCRGCCACTGCCCTTTTGCCACAGGCTCTGCTCATCTCAGGCCCAGAACGATGGAGTCAGCCCCGTGGACTGAGGCTCTGAAACTGGGAGCCCAAAATGAACTCTTCCTCCTCTAAGTTGTTCTTGTCAGGCATTTTGGTCCCAGTGAAGCTGCAGGCTGACTAACACAGCCCTCCGTCTCTAATTACCCCTGAATAATCCGAGCCTCCCACCATTACTTACCCTTCCTAGGCYAAGTGTGGTTTTAAAACAATACAACTATTAAAACTGTATTACTCAGAGGCAACTGGGGAAAGGTCACARTGAATTGTTAAAAACCTAAATTACTTTTTAAATATGGTTGTGTTCCTTTCAAGAACCAATGATAAACAGAGCCACCAGAACAGTGCAGCCAGGGGTCCTCTGGGAGCACTGTGGTAAGGAGCAGGCAATTGTCATCCAGTTGAATTTGCTTATTTTATTTACATGAATATTGAAAACATTTCTATCCTTTCAGGACAATGGTGAGTTCCACATTTGCAGAAGTCCTTCATAAAAACTCACTGGGATTTCTCTACTCACCTCTCCTTGGCGTCCAAGAAGGCCTTGGCAAAGGGGTTGTACTTGATCTTGAGGGCTGTTATCTTGCATTTGCAAAGACAAGAAGTGTCAGTGAGAAGGGAACAGGTGCAGGTAGATAGGTCCTTTGTCCCCAGTGTGAACTTGTGGGAAACCAGGGGAGTCCTCCCCGCCACCACCGTGTGTCTCTGCTGAGTCCTGTGTTAGGTCTCCCTGGCACTGGCCCTGGCCAAGGACCCTTCATTATGACAGGAGGTGAGAATGATCAGGGCCTTGCCAAGTGAGCCAAGAGGGACGGATTTTAGAAATAAGCAACATCCAAAGCACCAAACCCAGAATTCCTTCTTCTACTCACTTCTTTATTTTCAGTCATCACTGAGCACCAAGCACATGAGTTCCTTTTCTTGTCACTTGGGACATACTGAGGAGTGGTACCGCTGTGATCCTCCTCTCCTGGAGAGCAGGGGCCAGTTCCCTCCCTCTTACATAATCATCGCCCATTGAGCCATGTTAATGGAAGAAGCACGGTGGCCCCAGCCTGCCATTGTGCTAGCCTTAGCTGTGTCCCCTCTCAGAGCCATCTGATCCAGA